GAATGTTTAATTATTATCTTTATAAAAAATTATATTATTAAATCAAAAATAAATTACTTTATTATTAAATCTAAATTAAATTATAATAAAAAATAAATTAAAGAAGTTACACCAAGAGAACTATTAAATAGTTAATTTGATACTATTATCGATTTATTTTTTACAAATTTTTATGCTATATTCAAATTTATATTTTTGTTCAAAAATATTTATCGCTTTTTCAAAACCACATAAAAATCGTATTATATCGGTAGAGACAAAGAATAAAAACAAAATATTAAATCAAGATTTATTTCGTTGCATTGCGTGAGTACCTTTCTAGTTAATAAAAAAAATGCAATTATTATACATCTGAAAAATTATCATTTTAAGTTAGTGCTATTTAATAGACCGTATCACGTTTTATACAAACTATAATTTATGTACTTAAATTATATATATATATATACATATATAATATAATTAAAAAATAGAAAAAAAAATCAAATAGGAGTTTAATATTAATTAAAAAAAGGTTATTTGTCCACTTGCAAACCAGCCTGCAAAAGAATAGTGATAATAATCAAATGGAAAATAAAGTGTTGAAAAAAATATAAACAACTGTGTCAAGTTGTTGATATAAATACGAGGTGGGAGGAATCCATGTCAAGTTGAGGCCAATCGCTATTTTTATTACAAATTAATATATTAAAAATTAAAACTTCGAAGTTATCGGTTATGTTTTATTTTTCTTTGAGTCGTAATTTTTTATCTGGTTTAAAAGAAATTGGTATAACTGATCTTCAAAGGCTTTAAATCAGTCGTTTTATTTTTAACTGTTTTTGTTAAATTCCATTTTACAGATTAAAACAGACATAAAATCAATGATTATAATTCCCTTCAATGACCATTGTTATAAAGAGATTAGCCTCAACAGTTGTCATATCGCATTGTGGATTAAGGTTTGTGTCTCTACCACGTTAAGCATGTAACACCACATGGCCCGATGTCCAGTTTTTAATGCGATATTTGATTTTTCTTATCTTTTAAATATACTAGAAGAGTACTCGCGCAATGCAGCGAGACGCATCTCGATTTTAATGTTCTATTTTATTCATGTGTCTATGTCGATGTTATAATACGATTTTATGTGTTTTTAAAAAGCAATAATGATTATATTTTTGAATAAAATATAAATTTGAAGATATCATAATTTTTTTTAAAATATATATCAATGTTAATATCAAATCAGCTATTTAAAGGCTCTCATTTTTTTTTATGTAATTCTTTAATTTATTTTTTATTATAATATAATTTGAATTTGGTAACGAAATAATAATATAACATTTTATAAAGATAATAATTAAATATTCTGTTAGAACTCAATGATTATCTTAATTATATTTTAGATTTTTTATATTTAAAATGAGATGTTTATCCTGTATTTGATTATGTTTATCTACAGTTGGTTACACGAATTCAGATATGGAGCTTTAATAAGTTGTACTTACACACAATCTACTTGCAATCTTGAGTTTTAAGTAATATGCATTATTAAACAGTACTTTACGCATAAAAAATAGTTTTTAAGAGTTTTTGTCAAATGTTTTATAATATAGTATAGATTAATTGTTAGTTTTAATACATAACCTGATTTAAATTGTTTATTATCATTGACTTGTTGAATAATAGTAGAAAACATATGTTTATATATAAAATATTATATATGATATAGAGATTTGCTACAATACGTCGTGTCTTGAAAAACGTCATGATCTCACCCGAACTTGAGGTTTGGTCTCAAAACCACTTCATTTAGAACGTTTATGATAACAAATAAAATTGTTGTTTTACAAGTTAAGGATTTAAAAAGGACCTTTCACAATTTTGGTCGTATCTTGGCTGTGATCGTTAACTGGATATGATTAAGATTTTGCATTAACTGGTTTTGGATAAAAATGTAAAATTGATCAGACTTTTGGATCTAGACGTGATCAAGTTACGATATTTCTTGTAACTAAACTTTATCGTACCGATATCTGAACTTGGACCTTGATTCCGTATCACTTCATCTTATGTATTTAAACAAAGGATCTTGTAAGAAAGAAAGTTATAATTAAAAGCGTAAGAAAATATCTGAACTTTTGATCATTTTTAATCTCATGCATACTCATGAATTGTGCTTTAGAAAGGAATTGATGCAGTGCATCTCGATGCATCTCATTAATGTTAACATTCATTTAAGATTGATCAAAATATGAAGATCTTTTCTTACGTTTCTCATATAACTTTCATTTTCATCAGAACTCAACCTAAATAACTATTAGGTTACTTATGTAAAACTTCATTAAATGCTTTCAATTTGTATCATATTTTCATGAAAAATTACAAATAATTACAAATTAAAGTATTATTTTAATTTAAATGTACGTAATGTAACTTTAAAAATAACCCAAAATTAAATATTTAAAATATGTTTNATATATATATATATATATATGTATATATGTATATATGTATATAACCACCTAACATGTGAGTTGACAAGTGATCCCGACCATCTTAATTAAAAGGTTGTATCAATACGAATGAAATATGCGATGTCAGTTTATTGGCTAATAAAACACGAGTCCAATGAAATATGTCGACCAAGTGTCTCTTACTAACCTTAATGAGTTCATACCTTTATTTTATTTTTTTGTCAGATGTAACATACAAATATTTGTTTTTAAATGATTCATAATATGATTATAACCAGTGATAAGATAATTTACAAAATGTATTTTAAGTCAATGTTCACATTTGATTGAACTTGGATAATACGTCAAAAATCATGTCAAATAAATTTTATACTTAGAAAGTTCACAATATGTAACATTTTTAAGATTGATCATAATTAAATTTATATTGTTGAAGTAATTTTAGCAAATAATAATTTTTTTTTAAAATTGATTAAAAATTGCTTTAATTCATGAAAATTATCAATGTTAAATAATTCTTTTGTAATAATGATATATGAGAATGATTAGTTATAACTTGACTTATAAATGATTATTTTAAATAAAAAAAACTATTTTTATTAGAGTTTTTAATAAGTTTAAAAAATGGTTTAATTTTTTCCAATTATATTTTTCTAATTAAACTTTTTTAAGGATTATATATATTATTTTGTTTATTAGTTGATTTCTATCAAATGTGACTATTTTATCAACTAGCTTCCCATCTTTATTTATAAATAACTATGTTTTCAATTATCAGCTAACAATTAACTTATCAGATAACAGATGATTTGCCAAATATAACTGTATGTATATCAGGACTTGAACGAAATTTAATTGTATTTCAATAAAAGGAAGCGTTGGATCTGATACGTGATACAATTAAAATTTGATGTTTTACTCTGATCTAACCAAAATATTTGACATGTATTTATGAAAAATAATATAAAATCCTTTTTTCAATGATGAAATTAAATTATCATTGTTGTTGGACCAACCTACAAAAAGTACGAATGGAGTTATAAGCATTTCTCTTCCAGTAATAAACTAACAAGTCATTTGCGAAATTATGGTGACTATTATTAACACCGATAATTAGGGTGCTGTTAGTGAAGGGTAGTTTCGTTCATTTACCCTTTTTCTCCATCTACTTTTATTTTATAACACATTTGGTCCTTGTATTTACTTTCTTTTTTTATAACATATTTGGGGACCAACAATATTATTAAATTGGAAGTAAAATAAGGGACCAAATATGTTATAAAAATGAAAGTAGATGGAATCATCAAATATGTTGTAAAAATGAAAGTGGATGGAGGGGAAAAGTTAATAGAAGAAATTACCCCTCACTATCAACACTGTAATTGACAGTATCGATAGAGGGACCATATACATTATCAAAATGAAAACCACAATGATGCTTTTTTGTTAAAAATTATTTTCAGGGGTCTTACTCATTAATTTATGTAAACCACGGGGGACCAAATTAGCATTTAACTCTATTATTTTTTTTTGGGATAACTCTGGATTTTCAGACTAGTTTACGTGCATCGACTAATCCCCCGGCACGACCACGAATGGTCTGGAGTCATCGCAGGTGAACCTGTACGGCTACAAGGGCTTTAGCAGCATGTAAACTTCCATGGCCACAAGGGCGACCCCAAATGGCCTGTATACGTTTGCCTTTAATAATAATAAGGAGTCAAGTGGGAAAGAATAAAAATACAACATCAAGAATTATCTTTTCATAAATATACTTTGCCAGCAACGTTGCAGTTCTGGAATCAACTAAAATTGCTCTCTAAGGATAGAGCAAAAGTAGATACAGTCGACAATCAAAACACGTACTCGAAAAAAGTTATCAACAAAGTGCAACCACTTTGTAAATACTTGCAAAAAGAAACAAAGAAAACTTGTTTCAAATATCCAATTATATGTTTAAATGATCAACTAGACATGACTAGAAACTAGAATAGGTATGCAATGGTTATCAATTATACGATATATATATATATATATATNCATAATAAGGATATAAAATACAGATAAAAATCACTTGTTTCAAATTTTTATCATTAATCATATGAATATAAATAATCAGAGAGAGAATATGAACATAGATTAAATAAATTTAAAATAAATAAAAATTAAATGTGTTTTAATTTTATTGGCGAGACAAAAAATTGAGACGTGTGATACCTTATATCCGAAAGAAACTTGTTTAATCTCGAAAAACATTATGAGGTTTTTCTCCAAAGCGTTTTAATAACTACTATTATTTGGAATATTTAATCACCAATATAACAATTTCGATATTTAAAGATTGTATATATAAATTAAATCGTATTTGTCTTAGCGGTATCGTAGTCTTTTGCTTTATAGAAAGTCAGGGATTCATATATCCCCAAATATAAGGAGGGTATGTGAGTTTATTTGTTACATATGTCGATAGTGTATATATATATATATTATATACATAAAAAAATTGTATATGATTATTGGAAAAAAAAAATGGACAAGAGATACTCAAAATAAAACTCCAATAATTAATGCAGATGCAACCCTCTAATTCTTTCTTCTAAATGTTACATGAAACCATGAAACAAACACCAAGTTAAATTCACATGAACAACGCAAAAAGAAAAATGAAAACCCTAAATTCTAAAAAAGAAACTGGAAAATTGATCACAGATTGAATTAAACCCATGAAAAAAGAAAAGATCAACGGACAGGTTAATGCACAGGATCGATCGAGTTGAATTTGATTTTATTTACTGTTAGTTTTCTTGGCCAAATTTTCAGCGATTTGCTTCAGTGAAATCATGTTACAACGTACGATGGTGTCGACAAACACACACGTTTCTTCCTTGGTGTTTTCCGGCGGTACATCGACGACGTAGGACTCCACGACGACGGTGGTACCGGCACAGATCGGTGACGGATGGAGGGTGGTAACGGATCGGTAGTTGTTAAGCCGATGGTCTCCGCCGACAACGCTGAAGCTCATGACATGTCGGTCGTCGTCGAGAATCTCCAGCCGTTCGGTGCTGGATCCGGCTGGCAAACCTGACACAACGTGGACTTCCCTCAGGGTTCCCACGTCACCGTCACCGAGAATCACATCACAACTCTTGAGAAAGTGTTTGTACGCCTGAGGGTTATCGAAGCGGCGAACGACGGACCAGACGGCATCGACGGTGGCGGAGATGGATTGAACGACGGCGGAGGAGCACTGGTGAGGACCAACCGCATGGGTGTGATGATGCATAAGATCTTCTGGTACGCAGATAGACGATGGAACTTTCCATATGGTGGTGGTTGATAGTTGTTTATGGTGGTGGTTAACGGTGGCCGTGGTGGTGGCGGTGATGGGGTTGGTGGCGGTGGTGTGGATTCTTTGAACTTGAATGGAAGAAGGCATATTTTTCTTCTTCTCTTAATTTTTTCCGTGAGGGTAGAGCAGATGCTGATATATATATAGATTGTATGTATATATATAGATATAGATATAGATATAGATATATAGATATAGATATAGATGGCGTGAGGAATAGAGGCATGGGGGCAAGTTGCAATGGGAGAAAAGTTTAAAGAGGAAGAAACACAGGGATTACGCCGGACATGCAAGTGGCTGCAACCAAGTTGCATCTTCTTCCTCCTTTTCTCTCTCTTATTTCTCCCTTTTTTTTATAAAGATTTATAAAATCTTTTTTTTTTTAAATCTGCTATTTAAAAAAATTCAATCATTTAATTATCTTTTAATTTTAAATATTTTAATATTCAATTAATCATTGGAATAATAAACTGTTAAATTTAAAAAAATTAATTACTTACATCATTTTAATCTAAAAATCTGCATTTCTAACGGTTAGAAATGTTTTAAACTAAGAGGTCGTTTACTAAAGGTTTATCCGGTAAGTACTTATCGGGTAATTTTTTCTCACAGAATGAACATGGCAAGGGTCAAGAATCTTACCCCGGAAAGAGCAATGATAAGGATGAAGAGTTTTACCACGTAAGTGAGGGTGACGACTCTTACCCGGGTAACGCTTATCATGTAAATTGTTGCATAAGATACGTTCTGATGTACTATAAACTTACCCAATAGAATAAATTATGGTATTGACTCTTGACATTAAGCACTTACCGAGTAAGCATTTAGGTAAACGGCCCCTACGAAAAAAACTTAAATCAGTTTTACCGTTATGAAATCCTATGTTATTAAAACCTCATCGTATTTATCGCCATTGCTCCCTCTTCCCACCCCTTGTCGCCCCATCTTCGTCGACTCTCTCACTATCCAAACATCACGGCAATTGGTCTGTCATTTTTTTGTTTTTCAATTTTCCCTCTTTTTGATCTATCTATACGTACTCATTAAATTATTTTGTAAAATAATAAGAATTATAACTCAAAAAAAGTTGAAAAAGAGGGAAATTGGTGTAGGGGCCAAAAGCGAAGATGAACAATGTGGAGAACAAACGATGATGGGATGACGGGATGTGGTGATGGGAAGCGATGTCTTTGAGTAAAGGGGTTGAATGACGTAGGGTTTGAGAACGATAATGTAATTTCAGGTTTTACTTTTTACTTTAAAATCTTCTTGGACCGTTATAGGTTTATTATATGTTATATATAATTAAATAATTAGTTTTGTTTTGAAAATCAATTTCATATAGTTTTCCAATTAGTTGTAAAGGCTTTTTTTTCAGTAATACCAATCATATATTATATATATTATTAAGTAACTGATTAACAGGACGGGTTTTGATAAAAATGAGCGATTTGACTACGGTGTGCACTCCACTCAATTAATTAATTAGCAGTGAGACGTCTGATACTTTGTTTATAGGGGAAACCTACTCCCGTTTCTTGGTTGTTAATGAGAAAATTAAGAATGGATCTCCACCATTTGATCAATCTTAATTGAAATGTTCTACTAGACCAACGCTATTGAGAAGCACCAGATGAATTTCCTTCTAATGTACAGATCATCGGTTGGTTTGAGATTAAAACTGATCAATGATCCAAATCTTTTCTACCAGTTCTCACCTTAACTACTATTCTCACACGATCCTTCATTTTAATCAACATATTATTTTGATGAATTTTGCATTGTTTGTTAGTTTTTATCAATCGTAACTAAATTATAAATTAAAAGCTACCTTATAACATCTCTAACAACATTTTTAATAAACAGATGAATATTTAAGGATTTTCGGTAAGTTTTTCTTTTCTCAACGAACTCTGTAATCTTTATCACAACTAAATAATCAATTTAGTTTATCAAGCATATTTTTATTAACTTGGATATCTAATCCGTTCGACTAATCTTAGGACGGCCATCTGCTTTGCGGATAGTCTAGAATCACCGTATTTGAACCTCTGTGACCACAAGAAGATTTTTATTTCTCCTTGAATTTGAACCTGAGATCTTCACATACTTTTGACATTTGAAGTCCAAACTCAAACCAATAAGACACCATGACATTAGCAAGTTTCAGTATAACTGTTTTACGGAATTTTTTATTTTTTAAAATATTATCATAAGAATTCATATATAGCTATATCTATGGACCCTCCATGAATATTCCACACCACCGACTTCTTTTTCCTTTTTCTTTTTTTATTTTTTTATTACCATACCCCTACGTCTAAAATAAAACCAGCTGCCAATTAAATTATCGAATTATCTAAATGACGAAATATCGTGTGAGAAATAGAGTTAAGTTAAGAAGCGTAATAAGATATATGAACTCTTAATAATCACTTTTAATATCAAACTCACCTATGAATTACGTTTAGTATTGGGATTGATCTGGTGCATGCATCTTGATGTATTTCATTTCAGTGTATCTAGGGATAGTGATTTGCCCCGACCCGGTGGGGAACCCGGTTCACCCGACCCGAACGGGGACGGGGATTCCCCGCTAAAACTCCCCGGGATCCCCGGTAGACTCAAACCGGGGACGGGGCCGGGGATAGGGGATGTTACTCAAATTGGGGGACAGGGCAGGGGATGGGGATCCCTGATAGAATCAAACTAAATGATACTATTTATGAGATTTGACCGGGGTTTTACCAGATTTTCACCGGGGATTGCTATAGATTTGACCGGGGACGAGATGATAATCCCCGTACCAGCCGGGGACCAGGGATTACAAAACCCACCCCATCCTTGCCCCGTTGCCATGCCTAGGTGTATCTCATCCTAATGTGCATCCAATGCTGGAAATCCCTTCTTACGCTTCTCATCTTAACTCTCATTCTCACCAGCACGTAACCCTATCTGAAGTTCATAAAATAATAAGTTTTGAGTTTTTTTTTCTCTCTCGCTTAAAACGTGTCGTTGTTGATACCTTCTTTTTGGTTCTTTCTTCTCCTTGCATAACGTGAATTTGGAGAAAGAAGAGATAAAATGGCGTTACAGAGAATGTGGTCAGAAATGAATAAGAGGGTTCAACCACATCATTAGTTTTTATCAGGAATAAATGCTAAGGTTGATCTTTTGCAAGTAAAAATGATTTAAAAAAATACAAAAATTCTTCGATTTTATTATGGTTGATGTGGATGCGATTCCTAATTATTATCACAACTTATTAGAAGTTAAGGAAATGTCACTCTTTTCATTATTTGAATCCAAAAAAAGTCGCTTTCAGTGATTCATAATTCCTTATGAAGACACAAGGCTATGGGCAATAGCAACTGTGACCTAATCTTTCTATAAAGTGACGTGAAATTTGAAACCGATGTAATTGGCATGTAAACATCGTTTTACGTTAATAGGGACTGAAATATGTGAGCTTGTAACTTGTAAGCTCGTTTAAGTTAGGTGTGCAACTGCGACAAATAATCCCCAATAATTTTTATCATTATTTTTTAAGTTGATGTAGAAATTCATGTTACTTTTGACATTTTAGTTGGTACTGGAAATATGCATGACAGTAATATACCATAAACTAATATGCATTCGTCAACTGATGGTATATGTAATGTGACACCTGTGAACTTCAATTACTGTATACATTTTTAAAAATGCGCATATGTTCCGTGTGCAAGACTGCTCACTTCATTTTTGTTGCGTTGAATCTAAATAAACTTCCATCTATATGCTATTTGAATCTTATCCTTATTAATTTATCTGACACATTTAAATTAAGTTCAAATAAAACTAAAACCATCTTTTCAGTTTTCTACATATTTTACATTATATATATAAAAGAATAAGAGAACAATTCTGAACCAATCATTTCATTTTCTTATTCTTATATATATATATATATATATATATATATACGAGCGATCAAATGAAAACCACTTTCATTTGTGCAAACCGTACAAACCACTCTCATACGTCGATTTCATTGTTTAATCTTATGAAATTTGTGCAAACCGTACAAAAAAAATCGTTAATTTTCGTCGATGTATCATCTATAATATTGATCATGGTAGAAAAGAATATGTAAATTATCTACAGTATTACATAAATTAAAGAATTACGTTTTGAAGTACATGTGATCTTATATATTTTAAATGTGTTTTGCTACACATCACATGTGATATCGTTCTTTCGTTATTTTTCTTTTTTGATGTTTAATTTGAATCATTGTTTAAAAATTTAGACCACATATGATTAGAAAATCACATATGATTATGAAAACATTTTGAAAAAAATTATTAAATTGTGAATCACATATGATTTTGACGAAAATTGTATATTTCAAAATATACATATAGTTGGAAAAACATTTTGAAAAAATTAATTAATTGCGAACATTGTATTATTTTGATGAAAATTGTAATTTACAAAATATTTGTTGTAAATAAAAAATAAATTCCTTAAATAAAAAACTAAATACGTTTAT